AAAAAATGAAAAAAAAGAAGAATTTTAAACATATAAGTAAGACATCACCAAATTTCAATTATATATAAAAAACAAGCTTTTGATATTATTTTAATAATAATCGAACCTTATAATATCAAATACAATAACAAACATGGTAAAATTCTATTACGAATAATAACGAATACTATTAATTTATTAAATTGAAATATATATATGAAAATTATATAATAAATAATATTCAATTCAAATAATATAGAATAATTTATGTATATTCGATTTATAAGAAAATTTTCATAAAGATATATATATATGCAATTATCTTCCTAATAAAATAAATAGAAAAATATCTCGAATATAAAGATATAGAGAATCTCGTTTTTAGAAAGAACTAATATATTACGATAATAGAATTTGCATTTCAAATATAAAAAAAATTTAGAAAAAACCACGCAATTATACGAGATCAAAATTCCGTCTCAAATAAAATTTAGAATCAATACGACACTATTATATTCGAAAATTTTCAAAATCAAATTTTTATATGTAAATTTCATTAAGTTTCGGGCTAATATTGCCCGAAAATCTCGAACCCTTCGTCACAATAGAAAAAATATCATATATATAACCCAAATCCATACTAAAATATGAAATCCTTTCTTCATGAATCTCGTGCCTTGGACCTCTTATTTTGCAATTCTTTTTAATGAAAAAAATAATGGGAAAAAAGCTACTTTATTTATGGACGATTTCAGAATATTTAATATTCAACAAAAAATAGAATTAGAATGCCTTTATAAGCATGTTATTTGTCCCACCTCGAGAATTCCTATTCAGAAAATCTAGCCGAGACCAAACCGAAAGCCTCGCCACATGCATCTGTTTTCACTGTATTTTGGGGGATTTTATTGGATAACAAAATTGTTTATATTCTGGATGCTCTATTTCTGTCTAATCTCGCACTCGCACTCGCTACGAGACAAAGTATGGACTACTATTAAAGCACACATACTATATGTGTATATTTATATATTTTTTCCCTCAATCAGACCCCCGTAGCCAAAAACAGAATGTCGTGCGAACACACATGCCCTGTTGTATGTGATACCCCAGCCAAATTACCAAGCTTTACATTTCTTGATTGAGAGCCTTGTGTTTAGCCTCATGTGGCCAGAGCAATAAACAAAAGTTCGTGTCATCTGGCTACGAACCGTTGCCATGAATCATCTTCTATAAGTCGGGCGATCTCTCTTGCAACATCTTGCAACAGCGCTGCTGTTCCTATCTCTGAGATGGAGGTCTCCTCCTACATTGAAGATTTACGATGGCACAGTTCTGAATGCTCACATCAAGTACTGATACATGCCCCAAGCCCTGACGAACATATTATCTTCTCGAGTTTTCCAAAACAGCACGAACCCTGAAGCCGCGAGCACTGCGGGGTATAACACCCAGCATTCATGTGGAAATCACACATCACCGTCCGTAGGGCACGCATGAGCTTGACACGGTGGGAACTTGCAAGCCTTTCCCAAAACATCGTGCGTACGCTTGTTCTGGTGTGATAACACTGTTTGGGTTCTTGCGTACAGAATATAGAAACTTCAATGATGTGTGCGCATGTAAAATTTGCCTCCGTGCGTCCTATAGTTTACAGCAGATGCTGCAAATATGTTTCCTTCAAAATGGACGTGTTCCTACGTCCTAGTATTTACAAAGGAGACGTCAGACGTACGTCTCCTCGCGTTGGCTCTTGGTGGTTTCAAGTTGGTCTCCTGGGTTCTCTTGATTAAACACATGTTCACGGCTTGCGAGTGCCTCTAAAGACACCGACGGGACGAGTGAAAGAGCGAGAGGAACCGGCAAAAAGCGAGAGTCCTCTACGGAGTTATCGTCCTTACCGAGATGCTCCCAACACGACGTTACCGACAAGGTTGGAATCGGTTAGAAAAGCTGCTTTCGGGGATGTTGGCCCAGACTCCGTTTCGCGACTTGCACTTCGGCCAGGACTGCGACACTGGAAGCAGCTGGCACCAAAAAAGGGTCCCAAAACATCAACGAACTTTCCTTGTTCTAGCAAAACCTCTGGCTCTATTGTCATGTTACTGTGGCCCTGCCTGAGTGCGGAAACCTGCACTTCGGCCGCAGGGGCATCCAGCTGAAGAGTTTAACCAATATCTGCATTGAGGGTTGGATGCTTTACACTCTATTCCGGTTAAGTCGATGCTTCCTCAAATGCCATCCAATATTACACAGGTTAAGTAACGACGGACATGAATGGCCTTGCCTCGAGAACGACTCCCCGAGATATTTGGAAAGCTCCCTGGACTGCAAAAACAATGATTGCTTTGAGCAGACCAGGCACGCAAAGAAAGTTTAAGCACGGCAGTCAAAGGTACTGAAGAATTCTTTGCTCTGGATCCCTGCAGGAACAGTCACACAAGCTGTGAATGCTGTTGTCATGCAGATGGAATGTGCAAGTCCTGCGTGCTTGCGACTAAGATGCCACTGGGCCACAAGGACAAAAACGGCTTCGAAAATTCTTCCGACAGAATTCTTTTTTTTGTAGAGGTGTCTCTTCGGGTGAAGCTTCTGGCTGGCGCAGGGCGGAGAAAAGCCTCCCGAGCTCTAGGTCTCCGCTAGATCCTACCAGGGCCGCACATACTCGGAAGCTCTAAAATTCATCCTTAAGAGCTCTCAGTCCCAGCACCTGACTGGAAGGTGACTCGCCCTCAGCTACTCCTCAGAAGTGAATGGCGGTCGCTGCACAGCTGCTGTCCTTCCGTCCGGTCGAATACCCCCCTTCTCCCTTGTTTTTCGCAGGACCCTAGACACGAAAGTGCGCATGCATTGCAACCATATCTCGCTCTCCGCTTGGCGAACCCTGTGCTGAAACTGGATCAATCTGGAAGAACCCCAGTTGGAGCAGGTCAAGCAAGCGCTTAACGGCGTCAAGCTCCCGCTCGACGGCCCATATATATATATATATGTATGTATGTATGTATGTATTCACAGACAAATATATACACATGTATATGCATAATACAACATGTTCATAGCCCCGAGCTGCCAAGGCGTCCCCCAAAAACCACCCGAAAGGCGGCTCCACTGCGGGTTCTTCAGCAGCGCCGGCAGGGCGGCAGCACTGGGCCCCAACCTATGGGCAAGCTGGAGCATGAAGGGGTTTGGGGTTTGGGGCTTTACGGGTTTGGCTTTTAGGCTTAAAGTAAGGGGTTGCGAGGTTGGTCTCCCAAAGGCGAGATGCTTTGAAGTTCACTCTGAGACTCCCTGTTGGATCGCTGAGCCAGGCACAGCTTCTGAAGCTCAGACGGTATGCTGCTCGACACCTCGGGGAAGGATCTGAAGGGGAAGCTCTACCGCAACTCTCAGGGGCTTTTCAGAGGTTTTTTGTGGTATAGATGCTCGCATCAACTTCTTGCGGGTTTAATTTTCGGCTTCCCGAGATGAAGAAGATCTGTCTCAGCCTCAGCCCCCTCTGAAGCATTCTGAAGCTATAAAACGTATAAAACCCCTATAGATCGCTTGAAGGAGCCTTGAAGGAACCCCTAAGCACTGCAAACAAGGGGCATGGATTTTGGATGCCGTCCGCGGCGAGATCCATCCCTGCACAGGACACCAAGGAAAGCCCTCAATCATCAGGATCCCCTCCGGCAGGAAAAAACTGCGATCCCATCACTGCGCTGCTATTCACCTTTCCGACTGCAATGGGTGCTTCTCTCCGACAGGTTAACGGCTAGCCATCACCCTGACTCCTAGCAACGGTGTAATGGTTTCAGCAGGGCCTTGATGAAGTTCCAAGCCATGGAGAAGGCGGAAGAGGAGCGAATCACGAAGATGTGGGACACCTCGCGGTGTCTGCGAAGCTTCGGCGCCAACTCTCCTGGCTACCTTAAGTCCAGCATACTCTCTATTCTTCTTTGCTTGCTTGCACGACGTCCGGGCTTGGTATCCCAAGCTCGCGCATACGCGCTCTCCCTCCAAATATGTTGCTGGTGTTTCTGTCTCCCTCTGTCTGCGAACGGCTTGGTATGCAGGCGTGCCAGTTTTGGGGCTGCGCTGAACGGCACAACAGCGAAGTTGCAGCATCTGCTTCTCAAAGGCTAACCGAAGATTATCTTTCAGCAGAACAGATTAGTTCACTCCATGCACTCTGTGGCCGGCTGTGCCTGCTCCATGTAGTGCCTCGGCCGCAACTGTTGCTGCTATCCGCCGTCCAGTCCGAAATTACTGTAGGTTTTCATGCCACTGCAAGACAACGCGCCTGAGCTTAAAGGCACTCGGACACGCCTGCAAAAAGGGGAAGTGCCTGCTTCCGGAGGCAGCTGCAGGCTTGGAGCAAGAGACGACTCTTAGAAAGCTCGTGTAGAGGTTCTTCGGACCTGGTTCTCCACCCCCTGCCTGCCCTTGGCTGAAGTCCTTCTGCCAAAGGGCTGACCAGCCCCAAGCAGGATCTTCAGCTTCTCCACCAAGGCACCGCTGGAGACCTGCCTCGGTCGGAGCTGTGGCCTACTGAGGATCCTATTCAAGTCGTACTTTCGCCTTTCGAGATCTTCTGTGGAACGGTCAAACTCTTGAGCGCATGGTTAGGGAAAGCCGCCCTAACACGCCCAGTGGCCAAAGGCTCAAGCCCTGCAGATCGTAGATCTGCACATGGCCGGCCAATTTGCCAGTTGTCGTGGTTTGGGCAGAAAGCCAAACGTCCACATACTCTGCCACGAAGACACCGAACCTCCCGACTTGCTGTTGTAAAACGTCTTGGGGGATATCCCAAACGAAAGACTTGGGTCTGCACTGTGGGCACGGTCGAGGGCTGCACAATCATAAAGCAGCGCTGCAGACCGTGTGCTTTGCAAACGGCAGAAAACCTAATCAACCCCTGTCAAAGCGGTGCCCCACAGCCAGTCAGGTGAACCCCCCCGATGCACCAAGCCATTCCCGTAATCAGAACTCACCCATTTCATTCGCAATCGCAGCACGCTGTGCCAGCCAGCCCTGCCTAACATGGTAACATGGCCGACGACATTTTGAAACAACGCTTCTACAAGCTTATTACACCCTGCAGCCCCAAACCCTCAAAGTCCTGAGGCCATTAATCAAACTCCAGAACTCCATTCCCCGAACCCCCCTTTTGCCTAAAACCTACCCGGATCCACGAAACCCTCTCCAGCCCTAAGCCCCAAAACACCCCCTAAACCCTAAACCCTCAGCTACTACAACGGAAGCTGATAGACAACCTACTGAAGGTGGCGTGCGAGTACAGGCTGGATCTCAAGCTGCTATGGATTCGAGCGGAAACCAACATGTTGTTGGAACAGCGGGCAGTGCGGATGTATACTAATATTAGTACTAGTACTACTAATACTATTAGTAGTACTATTAGTATTAGTAGTATTATTAATATTCGTATTAATATATATGTTTCAGCAGCGACGAGCCTCCGGAGCTGATCTTCGTCGGCCTTGGGAGCCGCCGAGGAGTGGGCCGTGCCCACATAGTAGATGCTCACCTGAGGCGCGGTCTGCCTAAAGATCAGGGACTCTCTGTGTCTATTTCTACAACACATCTGTTTATTGTCTATATACATCTATGTATATATTTATATACATATATATATATATGTAGATTATGTAGATACACACGTACATACATACATACATGCATACATACATAAATACAGATGTGTCTCTGTGTGATGCTTCGGGGCTGGCGCCAGGCAGCTAAAAAGCGGTCGAGGGAAGCTGTATGAGGGCGTTTGACAAGACCTCACCCCCAAGAGCAACGCATCAAACCTTCATGCATCAGGACTTTCGACCGATACCCAGTTGTCAAACCTACGTGCGCCACGACGGTCCACAATGCTCCACCCGAAGCAATGTAGCGCAACAGGGTTCAAACCTGCACGCCAGAGCAAACCACCACGAAGGGGATCAACACCCCCATGCAGAACGACTGTCGACAATGTTCCACCAGGAGAAATGCAGCGCGAAAGGGCCCCCCAAACCGGCATGTGTCATGTCTATCGACAAAACAACCCCACAAAGCAAAGCACCACGAAAGGGATCAACTTTCGACAACAACTTCATGGCAGAATGACTTTCAACAAGACACAAGCTACCTCCCCCAAGCAAAGCAACTCACAGAGCCAGGCAGCACAAACGGGGTCAACTCCTGATTCGCGATTCGACAATACCGAGTGCAAATCTGTAGCAGGCAGGCAGCCAAACAAGCTGCAGCTGGCAGCCACAAAATGCACATCCTGCTTTGGGCCTCGTTGCGCCTACCTGTCGCAAACCTTTTCCGATCTCGAGCTCTCATGGAACCCAGCGAAAGAACAGAAGCTTCTGAAGCTGCCTTTGGTGCAGCCTTGTCAAACATAAGGAAGCGATACTAAGCTAGGCCTCCCCAAAGAGAAGTCAGTTTGGACCGAGCAGCAGGAGAACCCTCCGCGCTGGTCAGCGCGCAGGGGTTGATGGTCACGAGCTTGGCGACCTCGGCACTCTCGCTGGGGGGTATTCACCAAGTGAGGGTTGGTTTGGCCCTTCCTTCTCCTGGGCTCAGGCTCTTGTGATGCTTCCGTTGCAAGCTTGAAGCTCTGAGCTGCTTCATCCATGAAGGTCTTCTTGACATCGCTTGCGTCCAACATCGAGGATCCGAAATCCTAAACCCACACTTCACCGGATCCGAGGCTGTTCCAGGTCCCAAATGCGGGGCTCGAATCCAAACCCAACGCCGCTACTAGTAACCCGAAACATCGATACTTTTAAAAAGGCCTGTGCCCACACAACCTCCCGAATTTTTCGAACCAAGTTCACCCCTGTGTGTCCAGCGGGCCTCCTTGTGGAACGGCACCATCACAGGCTCGTCCGCATGCAGCGCCGACAGCAGGCCCAGGCGCATCTGATCCACGCCTTCAGGGGTTTAGGCTCAGGGGTTCTAGGGTGTAGGTTGAAGGTTACGGCTCTTCCCTCTCGCATGGCTAAGGATCTAAAAAGGGTCTAGGGTTCTGGTGTTCATGATTTCGCTCGCAGCGGTATCTAGTCTGAGCCGTATGTAGCTTCATCTACCACCTACTGCATAGAATCTGATTTCTAACCGTCAAAACAGAAGAGACTCGTGTGCTTAAGGTGTGGACGGTTTAGGGCCTGGGCTGCAATGATCACTGTTTGAATTCCGATTCTGGGGGAGTTTCGGGCGGCAAGGCAGTAATCATGCGGGCAACCTCCGAAATTCTTCACCTACTGTAAGGATCGGAGGATGGGAAAAAGCCAATCGCATGAAGGGGCTTGGAATTCAGTATGAGTTGAGCTTCTCAGATAAACAGTCTCAGCGCCTACACTCATCTACACAGTGCTTGGACGCCGAGATGTTCCAAGGCGCTGTAGCCGCTGGAGTAATTTGGAGGCTTGGTTGAGGCTTAAACCATGCAAAGTTCAACGCATCGCTACACAGACACGCCGTTCCGAGGCACCATACTGCTTTCGCCACTCCAGGATGCCGTCGAAACGTCGCTTGGCTTCCTCCGGCAATACCGAGATTCCATTCTTAGAGGATTCGTTACCCAGTCTGTCGAACGAGAGGGCTCGTTCCAAAGCTTACTCAACGACTAGATTGGGGTTTGTTCTGGAGCAGACTATCACTCATTGTTGAGTTGAAGCCAGATTACGTGCTGTCATGCAAAGCACATAGCACCCTGGCCCTGGCGGCGGTTCAAGGTGGCTGGACCAAGTCAGCGGACGTGTTTTTGCACTCCGTATCACAAACGACATATGGAAGGCGATCTCCCTATCGGCGAGATCCCCTCCTCCATGTCGAGGTTGCAGCCCAAGTAGAGACGAACTGCTGTCTGTTCCTAGGCATACATCGGGTTTGCATATCTCGGACATCAGGGGCTCAGGGGTTGTAGCTCTCTCCACACTATGCATGCAAGCCTTTTGGCTTTTCCTGTGAATGTTGTCATCGCATTTGCCATCGCCATCAACACCACCAGCATACATCGCAGCGATCATCCCCGGCCGGACCATCAACATCAAGAGCAACACGTTCATGTCACCATGACAATCGTCCTTACTCTCATCCTCTGCCGCCTCGTGGCACAACAACTGTTGACACGTACAGGCGATTCTTGTGCATTCTTTCGTGACCGCTACTGGCACCGGTGCTGTCCATCTGCATACTGTTCTCCGATGTTAACATACATCCTCATGGCTTGACTAGTCTGGAGTTTGAAGGCTCGGAGAGGGAGCGGGGCTGTCCATGTGCAGCCCTTGGCTGTTCTGCCTGCTGCTGAGTCACAGAGACTTTGTAGTAGGTCTCCAGATGTGCCTGGGTGCTCAACTGGCCGCTGCCAATGTCCAGTGTGAAGATTCGACCGCGGCTCGAGTCTACATTGAGGCAACAGTATTCGAAATAGTAACACAAATACTGCTGCTGCTCTGTTCTACACACAAACAAAGGAGTAATGAGTGATACTGGGGCAATAGACATTCGCAGGAGCAGGTACGATAGCAATAGCTACTGCAAAAGTACCAGCACTGTTCGACACTATTTCCAAGCAAGATCAATAGCAACAGCAGCAGTAGCACATGTCGCACACAGCAGTGGTAATAGTCATGCTAATGGTAATAGTAATGGTGACAGCAATAGTAATAGTAACAAGAACAATAATAGTAACAGTGAGAATAATACTGATAATAGCCCGAGCAGTCATCAGATAGTGACTAGTGGTTGTTGAGAAAAAAATGAGTTTGGAAAACCACGTGGTTTTGAAAAAAAATTGGCCATGGTAATTGTATGAGTAGCAATATCCTTGATTGACATTCGGGTCCCACTCCCCTGAATAAAAACGGGTTCGTCGTTATTTGTCTTCTTTTGTCTTTGCATTTTTTGTTGGTGCCAGTGTGTGTCTTCATGGGGCTAGGTGCTAGGGAGTGTGCGTTGGAAACCTCGCTCGTCTTGAGTTGCCTTAACTCATTTCTTTTATGTGTCTTTGTTTCTATTTGCCTCCTGTTGTCTTTAACGTTATCAACTAGTTTAATTGGTACCGGTGTGCGCCTCGTCTCGTTCTGTGGACACAGTTGGCCACGGTGTCGGCAGGCATGGGCAATAACAGTAATAGGAGTAGCAGTGATAGACAGTAACAGTACTAGCTACAGTCAGAGCCATCGTAAATTAATGGTAATAGTACTTGCGATCCTACTGAAAGCAGCAATAACAGTGCTCCACCAGCACCGTCCGGACAAAAGTCGAAGCAGGTACCTTGTCGTGACTTGCCGTGGCTCCGCCAAGATGCAATCGCCTCGTCCATGGCAGCACCCACGGCCTTCTTGTCGGGAAGCTGGCTCAACCGGACCTATGCCAAGCAGTGCAGTCACTGCCTAGGCTTCGGTTTGGTCAACGGCATCCGAAACTCTCGAAGCATCCTATCCGTAAGGCCCAAATCCTAACCGCAAATATCAATAACATCCCGATAGTCCCGATTGACCTGCTTTGGCACAATTTGTCCCAAAACCTGTCTCCACCTATCCAGGCCTGTAACCCTAAGCCCTACAACCCAAGCCAAACCGTCAACCTCTTAAGCATGATGATAACCTGGATGCAAACCGTTATGCTAAGGCCGCCTAGGCCAATATACACCCAAAATCACCAAAACAAGCTCAAAATCGAACTAGCAAAGGCACCATTATAAACCCCGTGAAGCCCTTAAAGCCCAAAATCCCCAGATCCTCAAAAACCAATTTGCCCTAAATCCCAACCTCAAGGAAAACAAAAGAACCAACTCTCAAAGCCCGGCAAGGCCCAGTCACCTCCAACGTCCCCACCCTGGCGAAGCCAGCGCTCGGGGGCTGCAGGCTGCGCGCGGAACCTTGCAGTGAATCAAGGTGGTTCAGAGTTTCGGAAGAAAGGGGGTTGGGGTTACTTCGGATTTCTAGTTTTAGGAATGTGGGGTTTGGGGCTTTCAGGGTTTGGGCTCGTTGACAAGGCCGTTGAGTTCCAAATGGTCGCTGCAGAAGTGGCATCATGTTTGGCTTCGTGTTCTCACCTCTGCACAGGAGATGTCGACAAGCAAGTAGCCCAACTGATATCCCAACGAAGCCTCCCAGCTATTTCGCAAGGTGTCGTCATTAAACGCATCGTCTTCAAACGATTGCCGGTTGTGGTTACAAGAAGCCTGGCTGGCCATACATTGGAAAGTGACGATATCAATCAATGTTTGGCAGCCTTTTCATATGCCTCTGCGTTATGGTTTCGAAGCTTCCTGCGTCTTTTATGGTTCGATTGTTGATTTGTCTCTGTGGCTGCACTTAGCAATGTAACAGCAATATGCAAATTGCTGTCTTGAGTCTGGCCCAGGTTGACAGAGTTTCGCTTCAAGACGAAGTGCAGACTCGCAGAGGTCTCACAGAGAAAGCATCAGAGCATCGGGGCATGCATATTCAAGCGAGGTTTACAGGCTTGTGGGGTTGAAGCATGGGGTCGGAGGATGTCGAGGCTTCGGCTTTCGCCGTCGAGCATTCTCAAGAGCAGAAATCTTCCAAACCATCCTCGACGTTCTATTCCATCCGCTTCCAGGTAGCTTTCTCGCTGCGGCGACCGAACTTCTGCACAGGGAGGTGCGGGTCGTGCAATCCACGCTTTTTCTGCTACTCACGCTCGGCACAGCCAAGCGAAGTTAGAAGCCCTAGGCCCTAAACTTCATGCTACCTCCCGGCTCAAGGTTTCGAGGTTCAAAAGTCCACTTTGCCATAGAGCTGGTCGTTTTTTCCCACGAAGAAAGCGTTACCATGTCCTGTGCCTAGCCCGGGCCCAACACCCAAAACCAAGACACTCCGAATCTTGAACCCTGCATCTTAGAATGTCAGTCAGCACGGGGGTTGGCTCGTGCGGTCAGAAATCAACTGCAGTCCTCATACCTCTGTTTCCCAACTAGCCGAGGGCGCCTAGGGTCTATGCTTCAGGGCACAACCCTAGTCGTACAAAAACTGCAGCGTAGCAGGCTCAGTGATCTGTAACCCTTCATCGTTGACTGCTCTAACCTGGCTCTACCAAATAGCATGTTCTTGTCAACGGGGCTTCCTTCTGTAACACGTGCTTCAGGGCCCAGGTCCTTCCGCACCATTGGGGAAGGTGGCACCCTCCTGGACGGCAGTGGTCGGCAAGTCCCGAAACTTGAACTTGTTTTTCAAGGGTGCGATTCGCCCCCCGTGTATATGCGAGTGGTCATGATGCATTCACACATCTACCCACAACCAACCTACTTGTCTTGGGCGGAAGCATGAAAAGGCTACGAGCCAAAAAACGAGTAAACATGGGACCAATGGGAATAGCTCGAAGTGTGCTTCGAACCCCAGGCATCCATGACAAGTTACAGAAAGAAGGGATGCTCACGACTGGCATGCATGCGTGTAAACATGCCGGCACACACATAGATGTCCATAAGTGCACAAAGGCATCCTTACAAACATGCATACTTCCGTACATACAGGCGTGTATATAGAAACACAATCATACATACATAGATTCACACACACACACAACATCCACCTGCACGTAACCGCACGCATGCATGCATACACATGTACATACATGCGTGCGTGCGTCCATTCATGCATGCATGCATGCTTCTTACTACGCTACATTACAGTACAGTACGCAAAGCAGTACATACAGTACATAGAAGATAGACTAGTGAATAGGTATTAAAATCAAGAACAAGATTTAGTGACGCTAAAAGCAGGATTGATACATAGATCGATCGACAAACAGATGGATATCGACGGATAGATACACAGATAGATAAATACATAGGTAGACACATAGCTAGTCAAACAGACGGACGGATGGAATAATGTGTGGATGGATGGACGGACAGCAGATAGAGACAAACAGACAAACAGACCGACAGGTATGCATGTGCGCACCTGGTGTAATCTCCGTACACATCTGCATGTATGCACACAGTTTTTTACTACGTATAAACAAAAAACATCGAACCCCACTCCTCGCCACGAGCAGAGTTAAGCGCAAACTCCATCCAAAGCTTGCACACTCCGAAGTGCGAGCCATCCCTGCATCTCAAACCGCTGTCAAGTGCTCCGATCCTCGTCGTTGACCAGGGCTCGTGCATGCGGGCTGAGGTACGGATCCCCTTCCTGAAACAGATGTGGCTTGGTCTCAGGACTGGATCCGGGATGTTGTGGTTTACAAGTCCGAACCTTGGGCCCACGGAACTCGCTGAAATGGACAAATTGGGAAGGATTTGGGGGGTTGTGTTTCGACTCACACACTGGCACAAGGCTGGCATGGCTGACGAAGGTCTGTGCTTGCTACCGGAACAGCGCACTGCCCTCCCCGCAATACAAGCGGGGTTTCGGGGAAGGCGACGATCAGCATGTGAGGTTGCATCGAATCTCACTCAAGCCAGCTCATACTAGAGCTTGCAGGCCTCCTCTGTTTCAAAATGGTCTATCGTGTCAGGGTATGCACAGTCAAAGCGGCTACTTTGAACCAATTCAATGCCACATGTCGCTCCGTACAACTCAGGACTTCCACCGAATGCAGAAAATGCCACAGCATCTGGTATCATGCAGAAGGTAAGAACAATCCATGCAGGGGGTTGCGTTTAGGAGTAAGGGGCTTTAACATGTTTGAAGTGTAGGGTTCAGGGTGCAGGACTACAAAACCTTGGGACAGTTGGCTCCGGATTGACTCGAGTCGCATCCTACTTAGCTTAGAGCTTACTACGACCCTGCATCTCTGCGAAGCTTTTAAATAAAACCTTCAGCTGCCGCAACAGTGCGGCTGCTTCAGTTGCACCACGTTTCACAAAAAGTATTAATGCCAACATCTGCTCACCCCCAGCTCGAACATGGATCTGAAGGCGAAGTCAAAGAGGGGCTAGCTGCTTCAACACAAGGCCGTACAAATCTTGTCACAGCCTGGTGGACGACTAAACCCTAAACCCTGAACCCCGAAACCCTGAATTTTCTGAGACTGGAGCCGCGGCACCTTGAGCTTGAGCCGTGCAGGATCCAGCTTTTGAGGCCTTGGATAAGTCAAGCGACCACTGCAACTGGTTTCTGAAGCATCCTCAGATTCGGATGCCTGCTTGCGGTACACCCTTCAGTCTTTTCTTCAGCACCTTTAAACCCTAAACCTTAAAAGGCTCGGATGTTGCGAAGCAGACGCTGCGCTAGAGGCCAAGGCGTCAAGTCTCTACCAAAATCAGAGGAGAAAGCCGAACCTCAGTCAGTTAGCCCAGTGTTGCCAGAGCTGTAGCAAGACATCGGTTCTAGCAGTTTGAAAACCCTGGAGTTGGCCAAGCCCTGTTTCAGAGCACAGCTCATGCGCGGTGCAGTTCAATTCACGGAAGGTTTGATCTGAACTCCTCGACTTACTTAGATGGTTGAAAAATCTTCACAAGCTCTCGAACCTTTTGGAATACGGCCAGAACCCGTTGCTGTAGGATGTGGAATGATTCGTTTGAGGTGTTTTGCCGAAGCAAGCCTGCCACGCACCATAGATACCCGATTTCAGCTGCATCTCTAGGCTTCTGTGGAACGTCTGAGGATCGTCTAAACCTCCGTGTCAGAGCTTAGGTTCTACGTCCTGTAGTGCTGTGAAGCAACTGGCCATTGCTCAGGGATTCAGCATTGATCGCTGCCGTTTTCGAGCCTTCCACCGCCTGACGAGCTGGCAAATCACGCAAGCAAGCGTGGAATGCTAGTGGGTATGTATCTCTCTCTCTCTCTCTCTCTCTCTCTCTCTCTCTCTCTGCCGTTGCATCCAAAGGGTCTAGCAGCGCTAGGCAAAGCATGAGGGCCGATTAGTGGGTATGTATACATATAAGCATTTACATACATACATGCATGCATGCAAATAATACATCTACATCTACATTATCTACATCTACATCTATACATCTATAACCATATACACATACATATACGTACATACACATACACATACACATACACATACACATACATACATACATACATACATACCAACACAAATACACACATACATACATACATGCATACATGCACACATACACACATACATACATACATACATACTTACTTACATACTTACATACATGTATATATCTGTCTGTACATATGTATATACATGCATGCGTGCACACACATGTGCGTTCGTGCGCTCTCTGGTTTCCCCTGTCTTAAGACTTTACGACGCTTTGCGATCTAAATCCTTCTATAGATCATGTAAGACCAAAAGAGTGGAGGATGCCAGCAAGCTCTGAGCGAAACAACAAACTGAAGGAAACATCGTGTGGGCGTAAGACTCGAGCCTGACAGCTTGCCCTCAAAGCCTGGAAGACATCTGGCATAATGGCCGCACGCGAAAACAGGAAAGCTGCAGCAACTCTCCAAACGAAAATGTTGTCGCCGGTCTTGCACCTTTCGCCTGAAAGAACAACTTGCAGCTGTCGCCTGCTGCTGCAGGCTCGCAAGACCATCCGCAGGCGTCTCTTTGGCCGCAGCTGGCTCGCTGCAGCTGGCCTTGGTGGCATGCACCAGGTCAGCTGCACGCCGATCTTGCAGACGCGCACCAACGTAGACGTCTTAGAAAACTCGACGGTGATTCCGGAGCACTGCATGACTATGTCTCCCCGGCCTCGGCTGATGTGTCAGGCACCGGAGCCTCCACCGTTGCCTCCGCCCACGGGTCTGGTTGGAGTGCAGTGGAAGGACTGGGACTTGTGCATGGGGCAAGTTGAGAAACTACCAAGAAGCTCCTTTCCTGCAGTGATTTAGGCAAGTGTCCGTGTCAACGGCATCTGCTCTAACTTCAGCAGGCAGCGGCGCAGGCAAGACCGTCTCCAGTCCGGTGACAGCTGCCTCAGCAAGTGCAGGCTTGTCGGCTTCGCCGCTGGCCTCGGATCGCGACGTGCTGCTGGATGGAAGTGAGGCTTGCTTGCAGGTGTTCGTTCACTCTTGCTTGCTACTGCATGTCCCCCAACATTGCATCTTCGGACACGATGCCGGCAACATCTGCACATGTGCACCCGAGATACTTGTTGCTCCACGTCGGCTTCCTTCATCAAAGGTGGAATACGCAAGCAGCTGTGACAATGGACCCGGCAAAAACGAACGAGCATGCTGCTGCTGCATGCTAAACGCCTCGCAAGACAACACAACTTGCAGCTGTCGCCTGCTGCTGCTGCAGGCACGCAAGACCATCTGCCGGCGTCTCTTTGGCTGCAGATGGCTCGTCGCGGCTTGCCTTGCTACTGGTAGCGCTCAAACTCAAACGCACACCGATGGTATCCGTCTGTCGCAGATTCGCACAATCAAAATCAGACGTCGCAGAAGACCAGCAAGTGAACCCGGAGCTCTGCATGACTGCACTTTCCCGGCCTCGGCTACTGCGGCAGGCGCCGGCATCTCCACCGTTGCCTGCGTGCCAGGACAATTCACCGAGCAGCAAGGAGCGACGTGCAACTTCCCACAAGATGCCCCCATCCCAGTGGCTTAGCCAATTTTCGACAAGTGTCTGAGACTGTGTCGATGGCATCGGCTGCTTCGAGTACAGGCAGCGGCACCGGCAAGACAGTCTCCTGTCCGGCGACAGCTGCCTCAACAGGGGCAGGCTTGTCGGCTTCGCCGCCGGCCTCGGTAGCGTGTCACCCTAGATCGAGGTACATGTGCGCCCGA